AGAACAGGCAGATTTTATCAGTCCTGACAGACAAGCTGCAATTCAAAGAGGCTGGTGTATGATCCCATATCCTATGTATTCACTGCAAGCAGGCAAAGGCGTTGAGATAAGGGAGATCTATACATCACTTACTATGAATATCTCACTGCAGCCAGGGATAGTTTATTACCCCAGCGATTATAATAATTTCTGCTCTTGTGCAGGAGAGTGTGCAGAGGACAAGATGGTTGCAAGCGCTCTGGCTTTTCCTTAGAGGAGGTCCACTACAGCTTTTACCTAGATGCTGGTTGATACCTCAGCACACAGGCTAATGCTCACTGATTTACCCTGGCAAGTGGGGGATAATTAAATGTGATGTGTGGTGAGACTTTTAGCTGGTACAAAGGTACCAAAAGTATGTATTAACTCTGACATTGCTAATACTGACCACAAGGGACAAGCATTTGACTGCATCCAGTTCTCCCCAAGTGTGCAGTTTTTCCAAGGCACAAGTTTTTAAGCAAGCTGTCCTCTCTAACACAACAGCTTTCCTTTGTGCTAATTCTCCTTTAAAACAAGAAATATAAAACAGGTCTGTTAGATCCCTATCAGCTTAATGAGTCAATTTCCCATGCAAGTGGGAAATGTTCCAAATTAAAAAGAAGATGGAGGAGAAAACTCTGTGGTACTTCTGATTGCACCCTTGTTAAAGGAAGCAATTCATTATACAATGTAATAATTGTACACACCAATGAACATTTAGATATATTTGGATGCTCATTGCAGTTAATTGAATGTGCAAAATAAATGCATAACTGCACCCAGAGTGGAGAACTTTTCTAGAAGAAACAGGCTCCCTGGGGCACTCAGGGAGTAACTGTTCAGCTCTTCCTTTCTCGCCTCCTCAGTTTTGAGCACATTGACCCATTTCAAGAAGGATGGAAATATCAGCAACAACTAATATCTAAATATTGTGGGATGGGCAGCTAAGTAGGAACCCCCACTCGATCCTCATGGTAAAGGAAGCAGAAGAGCTTATCCCACACACACTGTGCATTTATCCAGCATGGATGTGAATAGGGATTTACCCACACAAAACGCTGGGTCTTGGGTTGTTTTTTTCAAGCCTGTTCCTGACTCTTGGCCAGCATTAGGAGACATCCAGAGAGCTGCAATACTGCACAGCTCTTCTGGTGGGGCTGGAGTTATTAAAGTGCATGGATAGAAAGGACACAGATAAGTTGGCAACTCAGCTTCATTAGTATGACTGGTGATGGAACATGTTATTTCATTGCTCAGAAGAAAACTTCAATATTACTGGAACAGATGAAACTCACAAGGGAAAACACACACACACACCAAAGAGACAAAGGAAGATGTTTTACATGCTGGTGACTCACTCTGAGACAAAAGAAAATGAAAGAATATCCCCAGCCATTTGGATTCCCAAATACTAAATATATAAACTTATTGCTGTGATAGCTCTTCCAGACATGAGTCATACATTTTAAAACCTTATGGGGTCAATCAGTTTAAATTCATAAATGAATTACACCACCAAAACCAGACCAAAACCAGACCAATGTATCCAGACTGGCTCATTTCAACCTTTCAGAGCTGTCAATGAAACTGTGTGTGAGCTGAAATGCTTACCAGCAAAAGCTGAAAGCAGTAAATCAAATTTAATAGGCTGGTTTTGTCAACTGTACAGGAATGATGCCTGAAAAAAAAACAACCAAAGTCTGAACTAACAGAATTCCTGAAGGATATGTAAAGACTGTTTCACTTCTACATTCCTAAAGTTCTGGATTTCTGTTTGGTTGTCCTAAATGCATAGCTCACAGTTTCTGAATTGAGACCAGCACTTTAAATATAAAATATTTAGAAAGGCTTCCAATCCTGACAAAAAGATCTATTGCTTCCCTCAATAGTTGGTTCCTGAAGTTAATTACCCTCACTTATGTTTAATTTAAATTTGTGTCCCTTCATTTTCCAGCAGCTTGATATTTTGATGCTATTATCTACTACATTAAAGTGCCCTCCTCTTTCATTTATCTTCCCTCTATATGGTCAAGTTCCTCTTTAACCTTTTCTTTGCAATAAATTGATGTCCCTCTACCTCCCACTACAGGTAACTGTGGCCTCCCTAATCTGTAGAGGCACTTGTGTATCATTAACTTTCCTTTTTCTGGGGTGACATAAAGAAAAATAGTGTTTCCAAACCTCGACTTTCTTTTTTGTTTGTTTTTTTTTGTGTTGTTTGTTTGTTTAAATTCTCTTACAGCAAATATATTGCCAGTATATGATGTCATACTGACAAGATGGAAACAGAAGTCAGGATTCTTTACTATCAAACCAACCTCACAGTGCCCTCCTCAATTAAAGAGTTCTGTAAGGCCACCAGCCTGGGTAGAGGTGGTCTTCCCTGATACTTAGATTAGGACATAAATGGTGAATCCCCAACACTGGAATAACCACAGTCAGCAAATCACAGCTTCTGTGGTAAAGCCACAGGCCAGGAGAGACCTAAGTTTGGTCCTGCTCTGGGTCAGGATCAAATAAGTAATTTCAAGCCTTGAAATCTAGTATCCAGTGATGAATGCCCTGAGCCATCTAGTTCTCTGAGTCAAAAATAAACCTTCTCTAGGTGCAAGAATGGCATTGCTGCACTCCATCTTCTCCATCCTCCAATTGAAACAGAAAAGCCAGAGAGAGGAAGCAAAAGCAGCAACTTTTGTTTCATTTTAAAGTCTGTTGTAGTGCTTGATGTTCCCTTAACAGTGCATAACATTGCTTTGATTAATAATGATTAATATGCCCCTAGAAACAGAATGACATCTGCTATTAAGAAAGGTTTGGTAAAATTATGCCTCTTGCAGTACTTGTGTCTCATTTCTTTCAAGGATAGGGAACTTCACTTTTTCCATTAAAACTAAAAGATTACTATAAACATATCTTCTCCTGTGATACAAAGCTCAGACTACAAAAGGTAGATCACAAAAAAAGTGTTCTTGTTTGCATTCTGAAGATGGAGCTTGTCATTAGAAAGATGAACACTTTATATTCTTCTTACATTTTCTAATATTATAAGGACAGATATTATGGCAAACACCGTAATCTGTTCCACTGCAAACAGTGCACATCACCTCCCTAATAACACTGCACAAGCCAGAGATGAAAGTTCATTATTTCTTTGCCTTCTGTTGCAATATTGCTGATGCATATAATTACTGCAGTTGCAGAGATGTGCAGTGTTGGGACAGTATCAGTGCTCTTCTCTGGGCAGCTGCACTGTACTGGTAGTGGAACTGGGCTGCTCCCAGCATTGTTATACTGGAAACATAGGTCTGAAAAGCTCTATTTGTATTTTAATGCCTGTTAAAGATTACAGGCAACCTGAAATTTCATAGCTTTTAAGTGAGAGAGAGCAGCTTGCTGCCCAAGCTGACTTGGACTCAGCAGGGTCCTACCCTTTCCTAGAGAGAGGCGAGGTCAGCAAGTCCAGTTCTTTTCACTTAACATCTCACTTAAGAACAATAGCCCATTTTAATCTTCTGCAGTGACTGAGGCCAGAAAGGTCTATTATATGGTCAAAACCACAGTAGTTTTCCAACTCAGCAGATTTAATTTCTTGGATTTATCTAAAACATGCTCTGAGAGGGTACTGGTTTAGGGAACTATTTGCTTGGCAGGAGGTTTGCCCAGGATGCAGAAGGCCTCTGTTGAATTCTGTCTGAGGACATAATTCTGTCCCTCTGGTGAGACACAACCTCTCTGCCCTGCTTCAGGACTTACTGCAAACCCTCTGTCTTGGGCAAAAACTGCCAGAATTAGTGATCTCATATGAAAGGAAGCACTGGACAATGACTTAGTTTTACCAGCAGCTCCATGACCTGAGGATGTTTTCCTTCTAATGTATATAGAAGCATTTAATCTCTTACTTTAATGGGATCTGTTTGACTTCACCTACCATTATCACAAGGGCACGTTGGTGGAAAGCAGAGCTAGCTGTGGATTAAGTACAGTACACACAACAAATATAATCAGGCTGAATTATCAGGGATTGAGTCTTGGACTTCTGGAAATAAATTGCAGTATTACATTTGTCATCTGTGGGCCTCTAGTAGCCATGAAACACTCATAGCATAGGCCTATGGTCAGCTTTAAGCAAATTATAAAGGACACTTCAGGCTGTGATTAAGGTGAACTGGACCCTGCAGAGAGATGTGTGTTCACCTCAATTTATCTTTAAAGACTGTCTATAAATCCTAAAAAAGGAGGTGTTTGTTGGCTTTTGGTTGTTGTTTTTTTTTTTCTTTTTCCTGTTGGGTAAGAGGGGCATTTCAATAGTCATAGAATCATTTAAGTTGGAAAAGACCTTTAAGATCATTGAGTCCAACCATTAACCTAACACTGCCAAGTTTAACCATTTCCCTAAGCACCACATCTGCACATTTTTAATATACCTCCAGGACGGTGACTCCAGACTAAACAACCTCATTTCCTTCAGGTGCTCCTTGTAAGACTTGTGCTCTAGACCCTTCACAAGCTTTGTTGCCCTTCTCTAGAGGTGCTTCAGTACCTCAATGTCTTTCTTGTTGTGAGGGACCCAAACCTGAACACATTATTCAAGATGTGGCCTCACCAGTGCCAAGTAGAGGGGGAACAATCACTTCACTAGTCCTGCTGGCCAAAGCATATCTGCTCTCCCTTTCTTACTTCTCCTAGGTCAATGGTGACACCTCTATACTTCAATAGAGGTCTCAGAGGCTTAATTCATTACCTGAAAAGAGCTTTCAGACTGTCAAGTGAAGGATGCTAGACAGGTAATTTTTGTGATTCATAACCACGTACTACGTATGTGCCTTTGTATATTTTTTGCCTTTTATAAAAAAAAACCAACACAACTTGTACCTGATCCTAGAGCAAGGAAGAAGCCATTCATTCCCTCCACCCTCCCCCCAGGATGCAGCCCACCTTGCTGTTTGGTGCATGAGGTTTAAAAAGGAGGTCTGACATACCCAGCAGTCGAATTTGCACGACGGCTCCATGTAAAACGAAGAGCATCCAGAGGGGCTGGGAACAGTCCACGCAGACCTGCATGCCAGTGCCAGCACCATTGTGACTTAAGTGCAGCTCACCATCCGAATTCACCATAAATCCCAGGATGTCTCCACTCTGGAGGGGCACCACAACCCGGCAGATGGCCCAGAACTCCTTTCGGTCAACCAGAGACTCGGGGTTATAGGGGAGGTCACTGGGGCGCAAGGTGCTGGGGTCACAGGACGTCACCCCATAGGACAGTGTCCCCGTGCGCACGGCATTGGACTTGTTGATTTTGACAAAAATAGTCTCGTTGATCCGAAGGGGTCTGCTGGTGAAAACCAAAGTCCTCTCCTCCCGGGCGTGCTCCAGACGGGCCACGGTTTGGTCATCGAGGATTTTGACGTGGGGTCCCCGGAGGTGGTGGAAGCGAAGGTCGCTCTCCAGCTGGGAGGGGAGGAGGTGGGAGTGCTGGGAGTTGAGGGAGTTCTGTGGGATGGGGCACGTGGTGGCCGTCATGTGGAAGGTCTCCTCCTGCAGGTTGAGGTCGCACAGGCTGACCGAGAGGCGCGTGTCCTCCGTGTCCCGCCGCAGCGAGGGCCGCCGGATGGCGGTGAAGGAGCGGGGCCGCAGGCAGTCGGGGGGAATGATTTCACTGTCTGCAGGGAGGGAGGAGACAAAGAGGGGTCACTTCGGAGACAGTGAAAACGCCCAGGAGTTGGATAATCACTGTTGGTTTGATTGATAAGTTGAACAGGGAAAAGGAGAGACCTGCAGCCATCAATAAATTCTCCCTTTTAAAATCTAGAAGCAGAGTGTAATAAAATGTATTTCCAATCAATTGCTGCTCGTGTGCTCCCCCCACCAGCATCACCATTTTCAGCCTCTCAGTAGGCAGACTCAAAATCAATGGAAAGAATTGACCTGAGGAGGATCTCCTTGGAAAGGGGAAGCAGAGGGTAAAAATCTGATCTACACCCTGAACATACCAATCAATATCTATACAGGCTCCAAGTTTTCATGCCCTCTTTATTGTCTACAGTAATAATAGATCTAAGAAATAAATATCTCACTACCCTTTTTTTTTTATTATTTCAAACCAAATGCTATGTCCAGTTTTAATTTATTTAATACCATATGAAAATTAAATAATATTCCTCAATATAATTAATAAATAGTGTTCTGGTACTCACTGCAAACCAGTATAGATATGGTTTTCAAAGTGCAGATCTTGGAAATATGCAGTTTTCTATAAGTAATACACAATCATTTGTTAACTCCAAGCCAAATTAAAAATCAAGTCAAAGATATGTAACAAAGAAAGATGATGCTTATACATTCAAATCCACCACTAGAAACAGAATTGCACTTTATCCTCTTTGTTAGTCTCACCTGCTGTTTTAAGAGCTAATAATCAAATTATGTTATTATTTTTCTAAGGAACATAATCACCTGCCTTTAATGCCTAATTTACTTTTACTTAATGTATCCTTAAGCTATGCTGTGTTGTCATAGAAATTTTGAAGAGCAATATACAAAAAAACCCACATTCTTTAACCAAATCATAAAAGTAAGCTGAAATAGTGCAAAGATTTATACTCCTGCTTTACCTTCTGAACTCTGAGAAGCCCATAGCATCAAGAGACTATTTGCTGTGAGAAAACTGAGCATGTTGGTAGTTCTCTGCAAACCTTGGGATACATTATGACCCATATTGACTGTTCTTCTGTGGAAGCTATACCTGAAGACACTGTGGCTTCAAGCCTGGATCCAGAAGACATGAGGTGGGACCACCCTTTACAACACAAATTCCCACAGGTGCCACAAAACCACACTACCAGACCCCAGCCTGGGACCTGCCACAGATATGGCACAAGGTCAAACAACAAGAAGAGGCAGAGGAGCAGAGTCTCATTCCTAACCCACATGCAACGACCTTGCAATGGGCAACTCTTCCAGCCATGTATCTTTGGGATTTTATTTTACAACAACAAAAAAAGCAGAAGTTTGAGTTATCTGAGGATTTCCCAATGGGATGAACCCTCTCCCAGTACACCAGAGTAATGGCTCTGTACTGGTGTACCAAGGAAAAATGCCAGCTACTGAATAACCAACATCTCCTGCAATATCTGAGGTATGACTAATAGCCTTTCCTGTAGTTCTCTTCTGGGAGTCCTGACAAGAGCACACCCACACACAGATTGGCTTCAGTAGAGCTCTTTCCTTTGCTTAAACTGGATTATTCCAGGCTCCTCTTTAAATAAACTGCTATTAAAAGGGAAGCACAGTCTCAAAATAAAAATGAACTTTGTTTCTTATATTTGGTTTTCCCCATACTGATATTTTAGCTTCTGTTCCCAGAAGTTAATTAAAGGGGGAATAAATAAAATCAGAAATTACCCCAAGTAATTTAGAAGTGGGTCGCATTAATGCTTATATATATAAGGGCTAGCATTTGCGTTGCAAGTGCTCCTGCTGGATAGAATTAGATATATTTTACCCTCCTTTGGCTGTAAACCCACATGGGAGAACAAATTAATACTGGCAGCTGATGACGATCCTTTGGCGTAGGTGAATGGGTAGAGACCTTTCTGAATAGGAACAGAAGGTCCTCGCTATTTTATTCCCTGTAACTATGCATATGCAGCCTGGCTGACAACTGTGATGTGTGGGTAGCTTGCAGCCAGGGTTTTGAAACAGCTTGTTTTCCACCAGGATGCTTGCATTTCCCTTTGGCTGCTGGACAAAATAGCTTTTTCCATCTGAAAAGAGGTTAACAGAGATGGGGTTCTTCTTCAGACAAGACACATGGCAGTGATAGCAAACCAGGGTTACACACCAAACTGTTTTACTCAAATCCATCAGTAGCTCCAATGCCTAACTACATCAGGGATAAGATGTCTCAAGCATACAGGATTGACTGTGAGACTTAGTTCATTAATGTCTGCAAATACTCATGGAAGAAAGGATTGCAGCTTACTGGTATCTCAAGTGGGTTTGCAAAATTTTAGAGAGGTAAGTCTTTAGGAGATAGTGGTCTCCTCCAGGGCTCTATGTTTTTATAAATCACAAAATACCCAGCCAAAGAAGAGGAAAAAATATCCCATTGAATATAAAGTAAAACAGAAGTGGGATTAATCTTTTGGGGAGGTAGATAAGTTGCTAGAGATGTAGAACATCTTTTCTCCAGAATAACTGATAATGGCCAAGGGTTATGAAAGAACAATTCTGGTGAAATGTGAAATAAATTAAGTCACTTCAAGCAGTTTCTTTCACCAGAAGATACCCAGGAATAAGTTATTCCCCTAAAGCTCCAGCTGTCACTTTTTAAACACAGAGCAAGCTGATTGTGCTGGAGAGGCCCTTAATGCAGCCATGCTCCTACAGAACTTTTACAGCTGACCTTCAATGCCTACAAAGGAGGGATTCTCTGAGCATCAGTGTTTAGGCACATTTGTATTTGCAGAGACAAATCTGAAGCACACATCAAAAAGATGGAATGACTTGATGTGATGAGGCTGTAAAATACAAACAGGGTCCAGTGGCCCATTACCCACGAGATCACCCAGGGTCAACCTGATTAATTTAGAAATCATCCCTTCTTATTAAATATTCAAGGCTATAAAACTTCCTGCAGAAGGTAGTTGGTAGTGTTTCGTTGGGAAAAGTCAACTGGCAAGAGACTTCCTTGGGTGAGAATAAATGAACTTGTGGGTGAAAACCACAGCTCTCACTGAGTCACTGGAGCAAATTTTAACCCATCTGGTTGGGCTACCACCACCACCAGCAAGCTGGCCTTAAGCACGGCAGCTCGATGCAGGCTGGCTGCCCAGCTAGTTTTCCAGAGAGGTTTTTCTGAGCTCTGCAGCAGTGCAGTTATAGTGCCAATGCTGGATTTAGAGTCTTAGAGTTTCTGGTAGTGATATAGACATAGCCAGAGCAGACAGGATTTCTAATACAAATTTTCTGTTACTCAGTTGGAAAACCTGAGATGCTGAATTTTTGTACAGAAGGATACCTAGCTTCACAAATCACTTTGTTTATTATTCTGGGTTTGTTTAAGAATAAAAGTGAGTGTGAGTGGCAAAGTAGAACTGAAAGGTACTTGATCAGTTCAGCTGCCTTCTGTTTTCTCCTCATCCTTAGTGGGGTTCATCTGCAATATTTAAATTCTCAGCAGCTGGTGCCTTACACAGAAAATTAACTTGAAGTACCTTCCTCAAACTAGAAGCTTCAAAGCTCTGTTTTCCTGCAGGCTGTAATTGCTGCATCCAGATCAGAAGTATTTCACTACCACATTTATTTGAACCACTGCCAAATGTTGCAATCTTAAAATCATCTGCCTCCTTAAACATGTACAATATGTATAATGCTTAATTATTATAGATACCACATACATCCACATTTAATATAGCTACATGCACATTCAGACACAAACACATTTCTAACCACCAGCATGCACAGATCATCTAAGCCCTGCACAAACCCGATGGGGTTGTGTTGCTGTCAGACTGTCAAATCATTATTTCCTTTCTCATTTTCTTTTTCAGTACTGTCTGTTACTGCCTGAAGGCTTGACTTTCCAAGGTCATGAGCAGCCAGTATTCACGCACCTGTACAGGATCTGAAAAAGCAGAGCAAACTCAGCAAATAGACACACACATTCTGGAAACTTGCAGAGTGCTATTCTTAACTGCAAGCTGTAGGGACAAAGATCTCCCACTTATTAGCAAAAAAAAATTAGTTAAAATCTGGGGACTCAGACTGAAAACATAAGAACCTATCCCACTTACAATGATCTTTCCTCCCAGGAGAGAGACATGAGGAGAAAACAAGGAACTTTCTGTCCTCAGATACTAAGCAAAGTGTAAAAAATTGGTAAAGTCAGAACCTTGTTGATGTACTCTCTCCCGTGCACAACCCCATGCTCTTTCCTTGCTTCTATTCTTTGCTTTACTTCTTCACAAGTGCATGTTTGTTCTCTTAATCCCTTACTTCACTGGATAATAGTATTTTTAGTGAGGACTGGTGCTCATTGTGTAACTTTTGTGACAAAGGAACCTCAGAGGTGGTAAGCTAACAAAAGACATCTTGAAGCTGGGGCCTTGACAAGAATATTCTATGTAAACACACAACTGCAAAAGGATGTATACTGTATTGTACCCACCATGCTGGAGTGACTCCATTCCTACTCAGGAATGCAGATGAAAGCTCCTTTTTCCACTATCAGTGCTACCTACCACAAGGAGTTTTGAAGGGAGGACAGGTGGCCTTCCAACACCTAGAATATTGCACTATCTCCTCCAGGGTCTACAGCAGACTTTCATAGCCAGCAGTCCCTTTGGCAAGACTTTGACATTGCAGGGAGACATGTTTTCAATTTGAGGCAGATGTACCATGCCATAAAATAACATTGCACTCAAAGGCAATTGGGAAAAGCAACCAGTCGTAAGACAAGAAATAAACCTGTGCTTCTGGAAACTTTCTGTCACTCACAGCCTTGTACTCCCCATCATGAGAGTGAAAGTATTAATCCCAGCTCAGCTGCCTGCCTTGCAAACTCTGCCCCATGTCATGCTGTGGCAATCTTTGCTCCCTTGCTGACTCAGTCCTATCAAGCTGGTGCATACTGCTGGGAACTGCTACAGAAGTAACCAGA